TCTCTACCCTCAGTTCTGGGGTCTCTCCCCCTTAAGCTCCCGAAGTTTGGGGTCTCTCGTTCCCCCCAGTTCTGGAGTCTCTCCCTGAGTTTTCGGGTCTCTCCTCCTTTAGGTCTTGGGATTTTGGGTCTCTCTCCCTCTCCCCAGTTCTGGGGTCTCTCTCCCTCAAGTTCTTGGGTCTCTTCCCCTTAAGCTCCTGAGTTTTGGGGTCTCTACCCTCAGTTCTGGGGTCTCTCTCTACCCTCGAGTTGTGAAGTCTCTTCCCCCTTAAGCCCTTGAGTTTTGGGGTTTCTCCACTATACTCAAGTTCTGGGGTCTCTCTATCCCCTCACAAGTTCTGGTGTCTTTCCCCCCTTAACCCCATGAGTTCTAGGGTCTCTCCCTCCTCCCCAGTTCTGGGGTCTCTTCCTCAGAGTTCTCAGGTCTCTCCCCTTTTAGGCCTTGGGATTTGGGGTCTCTCTCTCCCCCCAGTTCTGGGGTCTCTCTCCCTGTGGGTACCTGTGGCCCCTCTTGCCCAGCCCTCAGGTTAGGTGTTTGGATACACAGATCCATGTGTAAGGTGGTAATTTGGCACAAACAGGATGTTTGTTAGCCTCCAATCCTTTAAATTGCCCCTTGGTGTTCCTCTTCTGCTTTTCTTGGGAAGGTTTGTACCAATATTAAATTACTTCAGTCTTCTGTGTATGTAAAAACTATTTCTAGTTAGTCTGTTCTTCAGAGGAACAGAGACAGACACTGTGTGGAATAAGAAAAGATTTCTTTGGAATGTTTTCAGCCAAGTGGGAACTGTTGGAGGTTCTACTAAAAAAGCATCCTGAAATGCTTGGGATATTCCTGTAAAACTAAGCTGTATTTTAACTTCTGTCATTTATCTTCTCTGCAGGTCAATGGTCTCATCTGTTTCCCTTTAGATTTCTCCTTCTGATTTCTTTCTCCATGTAAAGCTGTTTGTGTTTTAACATTTGGCACAACTCATTTGTTTAGCACAGTGTGTGTATATTCATCAATATTCTGGTTTGGTTTTTTTCCCTATGCAGCTGCATTGAGAATCATCTGGAGCAGAGACACACATTTCACATGTGAAGCTCTTAACTAATTCTGAAGTGATCTGTCTTGAATGAACTTATTTCCACACATTTGTAACTTCATTTACACTGCTAAATACAGACCATGCCTAGCAGAATGGGCTCCAAAATTGATTTGAACAAAGACTTCATCAGAGTGAAAACACACTACAGTGGGTAAGTCGCTGTGTCCTCTCTGTGTTGTGTCCTGTCTATTTTTGAAGCCTATTGAGCAGGAGTTCATGGTCTGACCCAGTGATAGAGTAACCAGGGCACTGGTGGATTTGTAATTAGTGTCAGATCAGGTGGGTAAACTCCTGAGCTATTAAAGTACCACCAGACTCCTGTAGGATGCTGATTAGGAAGAAAAGTTAATTTATTCCTCTCTCAAAAGGGGGGAAGTGTGCAGAAATGGCTCACAGTTACTCTGGGTGATGGGTTATTGATCCCTGTGGCCACAGGCAGGTCTGGTTCCATCTCCTGCATCCACAGGCAGTTATTGCACTTGATCCTGTCTGTGATCAAAATGTCATGGCCCTCATGACCTCACTCAGCTGTCAGCAGAGTCAGGGAGGTTTGACTGCTTTAAACATGTCTGAAAATCCAAATTTCCTGTTTGAGCTAATTGGTTTTCTGCCACTGTGAGCACCTTGCAAATTGCCTTGGTCTCCTGTCTTCCTGCAAGGCCTAAGTTTAAGTCCTTTGAGGAGTTAAATATTTGGACTAAGTAAATCCTCAGCCTTGAAGTGTTTAGACTGAACTTAGTGGCATTTGATCAGTGACCTGAGTGACCTTTTCTGGTGTTTTACTGCTAATAGTGGTGCTATTACTGTGGTGGTTCTTACATTGTGGTGTAGGAAAATGCTGCTTTGATTTAGATGTGATGCAATTATGGAAGTCACTCCACAAATTCTGTTGAAAACAACATGCTGTGTTGTTAAACTTACCTACCATGTCAATGCCAAGTAGTTTGAGGTGCTGAGTTTAGAGTTCTGGAGCAATTGCACTAATTTAGTAATGCCAGTTTTCTCATCAATTAGTGTGAAAACGTATCTGCTTTTTTTATCTCTTCAGTTCTAGCTGTGCTCCTGACTTTAATTATTCCTCATGCTTAGTCATTTGATTTTTTTTTTGTCTTCATTTTGCCACCTGTAAATTGAAAGTCTGGTGGAATCTGTTAATTCACAGCTCATTTAGCTACAGATTTTGAACAAATTTGACATAACAAATTTGACAGGTGCCAGATAACTCCAGAATTAGGGACGGCCTTATTCAGGTAGCTGCTGAAAAGTGAAATAATAGTACAAGATGTCAGTGTGGAATCCCAGTGGAAATGTAAGCACAAGGAAGTTGTGCAATGCTGAGCGTGGAGTGTGTGTGTGCAGCCCCAGTATCTCAGGTATGTCTGGGTGTGACAGGGTTCCTGGCATAGCATGGCACAAATCACTGCCTGGGCACATTGCACAGCAAAATCAACTCGTGTCGTTCTTGTTTCATTATTTCAGTTGCTGAGTTTATCTGGTTTGTATCTGGTGACTTGAAATCTCTTGGACAGAGAGTCTCACTTGGTGTGGTTCTGAGAGGTGACACGTGTGGTCTGTCAGTGGGAATGAGTCTCTTGCTGTACCTCATACAGAACTTGCTGCTTGTTAGCTCTTCATATTACAGTGTGGTGTCCAGGTTCACACAGCATCAGAAAAGTGTCCTGAGGGATTCTGTAATGAAGGAATTGATGATGATTTCCCTTTATCTGTGCCCTCACGGCCTAGTGTGGCTGTGCAGACATTGAGGTTAAGCACAGCAGATCTCAAAGCAACACAGACACCTCTGAGATAAGTAAATAATATCATTGTTTGCCTCTGCAGTAGGTGGTAGTTAGCATTCTTCAGCTGCTTGTCTAGTAGGAAGTTCATTAATTACCTGTGGAATGGCATCTGTTAGCACAACTTCAACAATCCCAGGCTGATATTTGTCAGCTTTAGCTGGTGTTTGTAGTGTTTTCTTACCGTGTGTTCTGTTTCAGCACATCATTTCAATATTTGTGCACAGACCTGTAGCTGCTCCAGCTGGTGATTAACTTGTGGCAGTGCAATCAGGAGTGAGCTGTGTGTGTCAGTGACCTTGTCCTGGGGCAAGGCTTTACACCAGCCCTCACACTGCTGTGAGAACCAGTTTGGGCCCTTGCCTTCACAAATGCATAAAACATGACTTCTTTGATAGGGAAATGCTCTTGAGCTCACCCTCACCTGACAGTGCTGCAGACATGTGGGTTACAGGGTGGCAGAGAGCTCACGTATTTCTTCTGCTGCTCTTGTCAGGAAGAATTATTGAGCTGCTGTTCTTTGAGAGCTTTACAAAGTGCAGATTAAAGGTACACTTGAAAAGGTAGCAGTGCTTTTAATCTGGATTTCTTTACGTGGTTGTTCTAGAGCTTTGCTTGCTGTAATTTTGCTCAGCAAAGGCAAAATGGAAAGTTATTAATGTAAGTCAGAATTTGAGTTGGAGTTGGGTGCAGTCCCAGTCAGCTGCTGAGAGACAGAAGTAGGTAAAATGTGCCATCCAACATTTTTTCTGAAATGGTTTGTCACACAGAATGGAAACAGGAAAATTACCTCAGTCGTGCTGGGAAACTTCTGATCTGTTTGCTGTATTGAACTAAGAGGGGAAAGTATTACACATGCCAATAGCCATTAGCCACAAAACTGGTTCCTGACTATCCCCTGGAAGGTTTTGAAGGCACCGAAATAAGTTCATCTCCTGTTTCTTCCTGCACTTGTTTAGTAGTTGGTTTCCTTGAGAAATGTATAAAACCCAGGAGAAAGTCTGGTTTGCATCACCAGATCTGGGTTTGCATAATGTTTCTGTAATATCTGACCTGCTTTGTCAGTGGTGTGTGAACTGTTGTTATTATCCAGAGTTCTGGTCACACATGCCTGAGGTCCTGAGTGGTTTACAGCAGCAGAGCTCAGCGTTGGGTTCCTGTTCTCTAACACTGAAGGATGAGCACAAGATGCAGAGTTGGAGTAAGATTTTTGTCTGAGTTTCCTGCAATTACATCTTTGGAGAATTCACCCAGTCAGAGCTTCCTCTCTAACAGTCAGTGGGTGTGAGAAAGAGCCTAGAGTTTAGAAGGACTTTGCAGTAGTTCGCCAGTCAGAGCTTCCTCTCTAACAGTCAATGGGTGTGAGAAAGAGCCTGGAGTTTAGAAGGACTTTGCAGTAGTTCAGGTTTTCCTTAGCTCCTGATGGAAGAAGTATCTGGATTTTAAAAATGGCATTTTTACGAAAGCTTCTGGGTTTTTTTTAGCAACACTTCAAACACTGGTAATTGTCATAAGGGAACTTGAGTCACCCAAGTAAACATGCATTAAAGAGGGATAATTAACACCATTATTTCCCCCATACTGAAGTGTTTTTTTGAAGCTAAGCACTGTGAGATGTGATCCTGTGGACATAGTGGGAGCACTTGATATGAGTAATGCTCACTCTGAGTGTGACTGTGCAGCTTAGCATCCCTGGATGGAATTGCTGGGACATGCAGGATAATGCAGATGTTTTCTGGTAACACCTGATATTTTCATCCCATGCAGGGACATCCTCATAACCAACCTGGACTCAGCCATAAGCTATAATGAGCTTTGTGATGAAGTGCACGAGATGTGTAACTTGCAGCAGGAACAGCCAATTACCCTCAAGTGGATTGATGATGAAGGTATTGGGGTGAAACACTGCTTGGCCATGCTTGGGTTGGTTGCTCAGTGTGGGCTGCAGAGCCTGGTACAGAAAGATATAAAACCACTGCATTGGTTGGGCTAATGTGTGTAATTATGTGCTTTGTTCTTTCTAATAGTAGCCTGAACTGTTCTCTGACCTGTGTTGTGTTGGAGTGAATGGAATCTTAGAGGGAGGACTGAGGAAGGAGGTAGTCTGCAGTCAGAGGAGATTCAGTCCTTTCTAAGATCCCAAGGAGTAGGATCAATTATGTTTGAATTTTCCTCTTCTGATTCCCAGGAAAGCCAGAGGCAGCTGTGCTGACCTCAGTTTCATGGGGGTGCAATAAAAAGTAACCCGATCAGAAGGGCATGGAGGATAATTACATTGCTGGGCTGAGCTGCTTGAGCTAATAAACCAAGATTATTGCAGGGAGGAAGGAAACCTCATGAGTTTGAGTCGGAGGATTTTCAGATGAGTCCTATGAAGTGTTTCTTGCTTTGCCTTATCTGTTGCATTGGCTCTTTGAGGCTTACTTAAATTAAAACAATTAATTTCTTAGCTGCAGTTCTGCTGAGTGTTTTCTTCCAGCCTGGGTTGAACACACACCTGTACAGCCCTTTGTTTTACTTTCAGTTCAGGTTCAGTTCCACCCAATCTGCTGTTTTGCTCTCCTCAATCCTCCCAGGTTTTGGGAGTTATCCTGTGTCTGTGCATGAGTGTTTCCACTTACTGCCACATGGAATTTCAGTTCATTTGACTGATTGCACAAACAGATGTTCTCTTTGAACTAATTTAAAGCAAACAATTGCCGATGGCTTAATGAAAACCTACCAAAGAGCTGAAGAAACTGGATTTTCTGTTGGGCTTTATGTTGTGTTTCTCTGGGTTTTGACATGATCAGAATGTTTGAATTGTGGATAACTCACTCAAAATAAAATCCCATAAACATATAAGGAGTATCATAGAATCAACTGGGTTGGGAAAGACCTCCAAGATCATCAAGTCCAACCCTACCCTGGTCACTAGACCATGGCACTGAGTGCCACATCCAGTCTCATCCTGAAAACCTCCGGGGATGGTGAATCCACCACCTCCCTGGGCAGCACATTCCAATGCCTCATCACTCTCTCAGTAAAAAATCTCTTCCTAATATCCAACCTAACCCTCCCGTGGCAGAGCTTGAGTCTGTGCCCTCTTGTCCTGCTGCTGGTTGCCTGGGAGAAGAGACCAACCCCCACCTGACTCCAGCCTCCTGTCAGGGAGTTGCAGAGGGTGATGAGGTCTCCCCTGAGCCTCCTCTTCTCCAGGCTGAACACCCCCAGCTCCCTCAGCCTCTCCTCATGGCACTTGTGCTCCAGTCCCTTCTCCAGCCTCGTTGCTCTTCTCTGGACCTGCTCCAGCACCTCAATGTCCCTCCTGAGCTGAGGGCCCAGAACTGAGCACAGGACTCAAGGTGGGGCAGAATCACCTCCCTGGTCCTGCTGACCATGGTGGTTTCATATTGCATCATCACCCTATTTGTAGATCACCAGTTGCAGTGGCTTCCAGAGTGGGGTAGTTGGGCCCTGAGTGCATCACTTCAGACAGCAAGGGTATTTTTCTAACTAAAGACATTCAGGTTTGCTTGGTTTAAGGTGTGGTTGCCCCTGGTGTCTCCACTTGGCCTGTGTGTCCCCAGGAGTGCTGCAGGGAGGTGGGAGCTGCTCTCAGTGCACTGTGCTGTACTGCACATGGTTAAGTGGATTTATGGATTAATTATCTAGTTTTAACAAAAATAACCCGCACAAGTAGTGCTAATAATGTGACCACGAGCAGACAGGAAGACAGGGGGAGCTTTCAGCACATCTGTTCACATTTGTGTTTGATTACTTGTGATATCCTCCTGTTGCAAACTGATGTGGGATAGTTCTGTCTACTCAGTTTTGATAACGTGGGAAGGAGTAATTGTGTTGCTCCACTTTGGCTTTGATCAAAATGCCAGCTTAATTCCAGCTGAGTGAAAGAAATACCAGCCTCAAGGATTGCTTATTTAACTGACTAATTAAAATTCTCCACGTAATTCTTCACTGAAATTTGCTTGTGTGTTGCTTTTCTTCCCTAGGTGACCCCTGCACCATCTCCTCTCAGATGGAGCTGGAGGAAGCTTTCCGGCTGTACTGCCAGAACAGGGAGGAAGGGCTGATTATTCATGGCAAGTATTGCTCAGTGCAGCAACCTCTGTGTGTCTGAGCATCCCTCTGGCTGCTCCAGACTCCTCTGCCTGTCAGGTAACACTGTGGAGTTTGGTGTGCTGAGAAGGCAGAGGAGCCCAAAGCTCTGACTGTCCAGCAGCCTGTGAGGGAGCTTGGAGTGCTGAACTGCTCAGATTGCTTAGTGTTTTACTCCAGGAAGATCCTGCCAGTCTGGAACTATGTTTTAATTGCATCATTCCTCACCTAGAACTATTTAAAGGCTTCCAAAAACTTTCTTTGTGTAAATATATTCAAGAATCATGTGAAAAAGTACCACTGAGAATCTTCTAACTTAAAAACCTAATGTTTTTGTTTTAGTTTTCCCAAGTATTCCAGAGAAACCTGGCATGCCTTGTCCTGGAGAAGATAGTAAGTACCAAAATCTTGTCAAGTTTTAGCTTGCTTTTTTTCAGTCCTACAGAAAAGAAATGTGTTGAAAGATGTTCATAATCTAGTGTTAAATACATGTGTGTCTGGTCTGTTTTCTTAAAAGACTGTAAAATATTTGATACTTTATCCACAGAGAAATTGCATAGATCACCTTGGTAGTATTGTTTCAGGGATTAATGTTGCTTTCCAGTAGTTGCTCTACTGGAAGGAAGAGACAACAGGACTTTAGATGTGTATTTGAACATGGCCCTTGGCTTTTGTGGCTCTTGGAGTCTTTGTCTTGCAGAGAAAGGAAGTGAAGTACTGAAGAGAGAGAGATAGAGCCATTTTAATAAAAAGGTTATTAATCTCTCAAGGAATAATCCTGTGAAGGTAGATAAACCTCAGAGGAAGGAGCCATAGTTGATATGGTTTACCTGTATTTCCATAGCCTGAACTGCCCAGGGATAAAAGGATTAACCAGCTGTGTAGTCACTTCTCACTGTGGAGGAAAGACATCAGGGCATTGGGTGACATCTTGGGGTGTGCTAGGGAAGGGAATGGGAATAATTGGGTGCCAGAGTTCCAGACAGTGTTGGCTGCTCACAGTGGTGTGAGGAAAAGCTGAGTGGAGGATTTGAAGGACCTTTGCTCTTCCCTTTGGAAAGTATAAGAGCAGATAAAATTAATTGCTGATAAAAGCAAGTGATGCAGAGTGGGAAGAGAGTCCTTGGTACAGGATTTGTGCTGACAGACTGGCTAAAAGTGAGTGGTGCAATGGTGATAGTTGTGAGTGATATTGTTAATTGGGGAAAGGGTGCTAAACCACTAATAATTGCTCTGCTGAGAGGCTTAATGAGGATGGAGTGAGAGGAAATAAACACCAAAATATAACAGTTCAAATATGAATTTTTACGTTTAAGCTACAGGCGATGAAAGGTTAAGTGTAAAAACTAGACAAGTTTTCATGTTGACTAAGTTGTGTTTTAGAAAGACAAAAGAGTAAAAGTGCAGCACTATCTGCTCTCCTTGTTCAGCCAATTAGAGAAAACAGTGTTTTCTATGCAGATTGTAAGAGTTAAAGAAATTATCCTTTGAGACTCCTAATTTAGTGAACTCATTAAAGGTGCAGATATTCTAGTAGGAAAGTTTTCTGTGTCAATTTGTGACAAGTTTTACTTCTCTCAAGCCCGAGATGAGGTACAGAAAGCCGAGCTGAGTGTGGCTCAGCTGACCTGGTTATTCTGTCTGTAGGGTATTGCTCCCTACATGGTTTTCCAGGTCACGTTGAATCATTCTCAGCCTGTTCAAAGAGCCTGTTGAGGAGGATGTGCCCAGTGAGGGGTTTGTGGTCAGGTTTCTCAGGGCTGAAGGCATTAGCTGGGTGCACACTGCCCTCTGCACCCTTGGGCCTGTGGCCTAGCTGTGACTGCTCTCTGCAGGGCACTATTAAATTCTAATTAAGTTGTAATCATCATGAACCAGAAGGTAATTTAGCATTCACTGTTGGTGCTTGTTAGCTGCAGACCTACTACACATACCTGCATGGCACTGGGACCGCATGGAAGTGTTACTGGTGTTGGTGATACAGTTTGTTTAAAGGACATTTATTTTATCAGGACCAAAATGTTGTCCTTTAGTTCACGAAGCATTTGGTAGGTTTCAAGTTCTTACTCTCTGTGGCTTTATCACCATAGTTATGTGGACAGGTGATCCTCTAAAAGTGAGAGTATTCTGTGTGTCCTTTTCTAGAGCATCATATTTGCACTATAAAGGAACTTCTGAGTTTGCCTCAAGTTTTTTCCAGAGACAACTAAACACTGAGCTGGCTGCTCAGTCCAAAATGGGTTTCTACTTATATTAGCTTAATGAAGTCCACACTTAATTGCTTCAGTGTGTGGTCTTCTGGTTTGTTACAGGACTACAGACAGTTTGGAATGGAGTTGTAAAATAAAAGTATCCAATTGCTAAATAATTCCTGTTGCTTGGACTCGTTCCTCTTAGGTCTTGGAGTAGTATGAGATCTTCTGAACTGCAAATATTTTGTGCTGAATTTCTATAAGGTTTTCTTTCCAGCTCCTTCAGAGCAGTAGTGCTTTGGAAGAAGAGTGCAGAAACACATCCTGAAGTGTTTGCATTATATCTAGTCATTGGCTCTCCTGGACCCTTGGAATTTAGTGTGGGTTGAGGTTGTCGCAGCCAGCAAAGCTTGGAATAAAAGGAAGAAGAGTGCAGAAACACATCCTGAATGGTTTGCATTATATCTAGTCATTAGCTCTCCTGGACCCATGGAATTTAGTGTGGGTTGAGGTTGTCACAGCCAGCAAAGCTTGGAATAAAAACACCTAACCCGTTAATGGAGTAAACCATGTGACTAATGTTGCAATTCTATTTGCATGACTTAAGAAAAGTTATTTTTGTGCTTGAGGAACCTTTCTTCTTACGCTGCTGAGGTGCTGTCTGAGAGGTGGAATTTCCACTGTCTCCAGCACCTGCACTTGGACTCTCTGGGTGTTCTGTGCTCCTGAGGTTTTACACTTTATTTTGGCCCAGCTCCCATGGTAAATGCACAGCAGCTGGTGGACAGGCAGCACCTTCTGCCTGTCCCCACGGCCTGGGCTGCTCTGTGGAGAGGTGAGAGGATGCCAAAGCATCTCCCATCCCTTCCAGGCACTGCTGTGACCTCTCCGGGCGTTTCTCTCATCTGCTGGGCTGGAGCCCTGGGGGCTTGATCTCTGCTTGCTGCTAAAGATGGCAGATTTCTAGAGCAGTCCTGCCTTTAAAAATGTGTTTATTTTCCAGAGGATTAGGTTTTCCTTTGGCATTGACATAAAAGAAGGTTTGTGGGAGATGTTTGGCGTGTTCCCTCCGACGCGAGAGCCTTCCCGACTCCGCGCTGTGTCACGGCAGCTGATTGGCAGCTTTATAACTTAGTTATTGTAGTCTCAGCTTATTTATGCTGACAGATCTTGATCTGATTTATCACTCCTGGTGCTGCAGTGCATTGTGTAACACAGCACGTTCGGCCGAACAATTCCCATCGATTTGTAGGACTTTCCTGTCGGAATCGCCGGTTTTATCGGAGAAAGACTTGTTTGGGTGACATCAGCTCCTTGACATCCATGCCATGTTTTAGTTTGTGCCTCAGCTGCTAGCTACAGCCTCTCAAGGGAGCCAGTACCACCCGTGCCTGGATACATGAGAGATGTGAAAGGGAGAGACGGGGGTAACCAGTCTTCCATTAAATATTTGCTCTTAATGTTCGAGCCGATCCTGCCTATTGTCCTTGGTGTCTAATGGTATTCACACAGCAGCATCCGTGGGATAAAGGGAAAATGTTCCATTCCGTACCTACCACGGTGTAAAGAATTCCATGCTGAAGAGGCTGAGGCATCAAACCCAGTGAGTAATGCCTGTTTTCTGTGGGGTTGGTGTCCCCGGCGTGGCTGGCGCGGTCGGTGTGTACGTGTGCTGCAGGAGAGGACAGAGCTCTGCTCCCACCACCTCCTCTGCAGCCATGGATGGTTACAAACGCAGAGGTTCCTGCTGCCTCTGAGCCTGGGGATGTGGCTGAGACACCTCTCGGAAATGCTGATAGAATTGCATTGAAAGGACTCCTGGGGGATGTATTTTGGGAGGAAAAGAGCAGAGGAGTGAGTGATGCTGCTGCTGCTAATGCTGGAGATTAATGAAGGCAATGTATCCCAAAAACCCTGACGGTATGTGCTCGGGGCCTCTTTATTGTCACATTGCTGGGGGAAAGCTAACGATTTAAAGCATCGTTTTCCAGGGCCTGTCTCTGGAATTCTGGGGAGTGGATTGTCATAGATGGAGGTTTGGAATTGGGGTTTGCTGAGTTTCTGATATTGTCAGAATAACCTGTGTTAGTTCCCTGCTGCTGAACAAACAGGGCTGTGTATTTCATATTAAAATTCATCCTGGATTTGGGCAGTCAGTGCTGGCAAATTTTAAGGTTGTTTTGCTGTTGGCTTCATTTAATAGAGAAATGCAGGCTATGAAGCCCTTAAATTAATTAGCAAAAGAGAATGAATATGTTTTTAATGCACTTATGACATCAGTGTGACAGTTTTTATGCTCTGACATTTCTGGCTGATTCTGCTGCCTGATTTTTTCGGTGCTGATTGCACTGTGTTGTGCATGTCTCTTATGCTCTTTGTTTATCTGCTCAGTGTTTTAGCATTAGGTGTTTGGACTTCATTTTCCCCCAAGCCATCTTCCTTGAACATTTCATCACAGGCTTGAGTAAAGGTATCTTAGTCACCTAATTGTTGTTGTGGGCTTTTTATTTTGGGTACAGGTATCTGATACGGCTTTATGTTCTGCCTCATACTATGAAATAGCTCTCAAAGGCTTCTTGCTAGAGTAGTGTGGCCTGTAAATATTTTTCTAGCTCATAAGGCAGGTTTTTCCCTTCATTTGTTACTGTATTGGCAGCAGTGATTAGGTTATTCAGAGCACGTGAACCAATTTAATCCCCCAATGAAGAAAGGAACTATTGCCACCATAGAGACTGTTCTGAAGACGTAGATTGGATTGCACTGGATAATTAGGCAATTTTGAAACCGTTAGTAACCCTCTCCTGGTTTTGTGTGGTTGAGCTGGGGGTGGGGGGGGAAACTGTGCTGTTTTTAATGTAAGATACATTCTTGCTTAGGGTGGGAAAATAGCTGTGTCATAGTTTCTCAAGAATACCTGAGATCTCCTCCTCTGTCTTCGCTGTGCTCCACGTTTGTGTCATATGTGGCATATCTGACAGCTGCACAGACTGTGAGGCAGCATAAGGGGCTGGAAACAGAATTGGAGTTCGAGGGCTGTCGTGCTTATCATCATTTTGTGGTGTTAATTCCCACAGAATTCCAGCATTTTTCTTGGCTGTGAAACATCCAGCGATAAATAAGGAGCTAGGCCTCCCTTTGGGTAGCTGAGGCATGAAATGATAAAGGTTGGGGTTTGATACCTGCCCTTCATTAGAGGTGCTG